TTTTGAAGCCTATGTACATGATAAGGAAAATGAGCTGCTACCTGAATAGCAAAATAATTGAATTAAAGCCAGTCACATGTCCAACTCAGTGTTAATTAAGTGGAAAACAAATGGCTAATTATTTTATGCAGAGTAGACAACTGATGGTGGTATCTGTGAAGTACAATTTAGAGACTTGCATTTCCAATTTAACTTTATGACACCAGCTACTACAGATATATTGGATGGTTATAAACTAACAGATGTGTCTTTAGCTGAAGATGGAACCTTTTCTAAATTACCATAGAGATGTCAGTACCATTTCTGGAGCTTGGTGAGAATATGTGTTTCATATTTAAATTTCAGTGCAAAGTTTTGGGAAAGTGAAACATCAAGAAGGGACATAGTTTATATTAATTGCCTGTTTATCAGTTACATTCCAATGTTGGGTGAAACTGTTTAAGGCTTCCAGTCTCTAAGTTTCCAGGAGTTTGGGAAGCTGAGTACATAGAGAAAATATTTGAGAGCAGTTTGGCAATGTTTCCCCTGGCTCATGTGGGCACCTTTGCTACTTTCTTCCAGATTCCAGGGGGGCTTGTAGGGCCTGCATGGTTATTTCCTTCATACTCACTTACTGTAAAAGAGAAGGATGGTCTTGATCTTAAAACATGGTTAATGAAAGAATATATATTCCTCTAAGCTATACCCCAGTATGTGGAACCTATCAAGAACCAAGGAACTTAAGAGTATGATTATAACAATTATTAGACAATAAGGGATTGTTTTAGATGTACTGTTTTGCAATATTTTAATTTTTTTAGAAAGAATCAAGAAACAACACTTGCATGTAATACAGTCAATATTTTGAGGGTTTTTTTAGTTTTTAAGGAATATTATTAAATATTTCAGTTCTATATTATTACTATGGATAAAGACACAATCAAGAGACACTGAAGATGCTTGCATATTGTTTCAAAGAATTACCAATCTTCACATTCCAAGAATAAACTCAAGCAAGATACATGTCAAAGAAATTCTGAAACAAGCTGATACCACTCAAAGATATATATATATTTACCACTACCATTGTACTCCTATTCTGTATATTCAAGTATGGAATCTGTGAATTCTAGAAACAGAGTGTACAGAAAGCCTGCATGTTACATAAAATTGTGTAGGAAGAATTAGTAACAGTTTATTAGAACAGTTTATTAGAATATTGTGCAGATGGTCTTAGATATTGGTGATTGTGTAGTCATCGGTTCAAATATAGGATGTTTAATACTTTAATATTTTTTGTACATGTGTATGTTTATCTATCTCACTATCTCTGTCTTTCTTGACTGTTCTCTCTCTCTCTCTCTCTCTCTCTCTCTCTCTCTCTCTCTCTCTCTCTCTCTCTCTCTCTCTCTCTCTCTCTCTCTCTCTCTCTCTCTCTCTCTCTCTCTCTCTCTCTCTCTCTCTCCATTCATGATAGAAAAAAGAAAAAATGCCAGGTGCAGGCAACCAGGATTACTCCATAAATATGCTTAAGTATGTAGTTTATTCCTGATCATCTATATTACAAGAATCTCACCAGACTGACTGCCTTCTCTTGGAAACAGCAGATATAGACCTATGGATTTAACTTCAGACATTTGTTCTTCTGAACCAACCAGAAAGTCTTTTTACCCCCTTGCCCCAGGGATCCCCTCTTCTTCAGCTGATAATTCCACCACAAAAAAATCTAATGAAATCACCTCCATCAGTAAATAAGTAAAGTGAGATCTAAAATATTACAAGTAAAAAAACCAGAAAGAATGGTAGCAGAACTCTAACTGCTGTAGACATTCCATCAAATCCTCCTGCGAATAACCAGACTAAGCCTGCATGTAAGCATTGTAAACAGTGCATAAAGTGGAGAATTTGGAAGCTAGCAGATAAGGGAAATATCAATAATTAAGCTCCTGATAACATATCTATGGAGAATTTGCAGAAAAAAACTAAAATTACTTCCAATAACAATTGTACAAAGAGTAGTGAGATTTAGTGAACTTAAAGCAACAGTGAGCTAAACCTGTCTACAAACATCGATCTCAGATTATACAGATAAGAAAAATAAGAAATAAGTGGAATGAAATGTTTTATTTTTTATATTTTACTACAGAGTGTTTTAGGTCCTCTATTACAGAAAAAAAATCCTTTATTTGAAAAGCTACTCAATGATAATATTTTGACTGAAGAATTTTCTATCCAGGTTCAAGTTTTAATAAGAAAAAAAAACAAAAACAAAGGAAGGACAAGTAGAACTGCTTCACCTGTTAGTAAATGGTGAAAAATCAGGTATACTCACAGTCCAGTGAATTATATTGTGTATTTAAATAGTATTTATTTTTGTAAATAATATCTATTTATATGAATTGTAATGCAAATTCTTTTTATTATTTTTTATGTTATCCTCTCTTTTGGGCAGGAATACTGGTACTTTCCTTAAGCTTTTATTCTAGGAAATTTTATTCTAGGAAACATGTTATTTGAGTCTTTAAGATATCATTTTCATTTTCTTTTACTTACAGAATTAGAATTGAATATGCCTAAGAGTTAGGAATTAGGAATATGCCTAAAATCTAGGAATTGTTTACAAACAGATATTTCATCTCTGAAACATATTATTCTACCAGTATATTGAGTGATTTAAATTGCTTCCTAGTAAGGGATTGTAGAATGTTATTTCAATTTAGGTATCCTTGAATTTAAAGCACTAATCACTCATTTATATGGTTCTTTTCATCCCAAATTTAGAAACAGATTACATAATCTTTTTTAAAAAGCCTATAGAATGGTTAAATTATTCAACATGTTAACCTTAAGGTTTCAGATATAAAATAAATGTATCCTACAAAAAAGTTTCTGGGAAAAATATATGCTTTCTATATATAATCCAGAAATCTTAATTTAGTTTCAGAATCCAATTTATTTTAAAATTGTCTTAAATAATTCTATTTGTTTCATACTTGCTTTGTAAAGTTTATGAAAGATACCAACATCTAATTAAATTGTTTCACAGGTTTAATATATAGTGATTAGACCGATAAAACAACAGGATAGATCTAAAGCAATTTCAGTATTGAATCTGAGTAATCTAGAAGGCAATGCCACCATCTATAATTATTGGTACAAACTCATAAGAGTAATTAACCCAACTGAGATGTTATATAAATATTATTATAGCAGAAAGTCAAGTTTATTATGTTTCATTCCCCTCACGTGGGCATCTATCAGTCCACTGCTCATGGTGGAACCCAGGGTGTATTTAATTCCGACAACAAATTATAATTGATATTCATACTGCTCCTTTGAGATGCTTTGTAGGGAAAAATCCATAGATATAAATCATTTCAACTTTTCTTTATGTCAAATAAGGAAAATTAGTCTTCTATATATGTGTAAAACAATATAACTACCTCAGCAGGCAAAGAAAACTAACAATTACTGATGTATTTCCCAGTCTGGGTTACCACTTTTGAGTTTAAACCCTAAATGACATATCTATAGATTTTAAGTCCAATTATATGCATGTAATTACATTATATTCTTAAGGACTATTAGGTGATTAAGAAGTTTCTCAAATGAACAAACATTAGGCCATTAAGAAATTCTAGTATTGATAAAATGAAGACAGGCAGTTGGCTCAGGCAGTTGTGTCTCCTTTTTTATTTTATATTATTTTATATTAAATTAATTATTTCTAGCACAATTATGATTATTATTCTTGGTTTATCACTCTTCTTCATTTTTCTTGAAATGTTATAAAGAATTAACACAATGATAACAATCTAATCTGCATTTGCCCTTTTATTATAAGCTAGAAGAGGGAAAATCAGAATAATAATAATAATAATAATAATAACAACAACAACAAAATCTTAGAATAATTAAATAGTGCCCAAAGAACCATCATCAAACTGTTAAAGTAATCCCACTTTTTGCAGATTTGTGCAGATCATTCAGAGGCTGTTGGAATCTCTGCATGTGTGTGCTTCACATTAAAGATGGTCCCAATGGAACTATTATTTGTGAATATCTGAAGCTCGGGTATAGGATGAGGGTAAAGGTTCGTTCTCTGAGCTTGTGGGTTGGTTTCTGAACATTTCGTTACCAGGCTAGGTAACATCTTCAGCGGCATTTAGGGGATATCTCTTTAGAAGAGCACTGACACAGACATCCCCTAAATGCCGCTGAAGAAATTACCTAGCCTGGTAACAAAACATTTGGAAACCAACCCATAAGCTCGGAGAACGAACCTTCACCCTCATATGCAAGTATGCACAAACAGCTAGGGATGTCAAAGCAAGTATGAATAACCTATTTGCACAATTATGTACAATTTGTAGCTACCTTAATGATTCTGTAATGTTTTAATTTTGTTAACATATGTTGTAAAGTGCTTTATTATAATAACAGGATGTTGTTTCTGTTTTAATATGTTTGTCATCTTATTATGGGACTGATTTTCTTAAAACTTTCATTTTCAGTGATAAGTACAATATTATTATATTATTATACTAATGAAAATATTGTACCACTAGTATATATATAAAAATGTGAGCTCCGATTATCAATATTAAGTGCAGGTTCAGACACTGTTTCAATTCTTTTAAATCAATATGAATTAGTAGGAAAGTTTACCTTTTCTACTGATTTCCTAATTAAAAAAATATTAATTGACTTTCTTCTCCCAATATACACATTACTGAATACAAATTGCTCATATATGAAGGGGGGAGATAGCAACATTACCTTATTTTGTTCAAAATAAGAAAAGCCAAGGAATATAACTTCTGAACAAATGATTTATTTGATATGGGATCAATATTCTCTACTGTCTAAACTTATGAATGAAATATTTATTTAAAGGTCAGAAATAGAGAGATATATCTACAGCTAACTTTAAAAGCCTTTGATTGTTTTGGTTTGAGGCATACTCATGTCAAAGTAGTTCATCATTACAACATTGCTATAATTTCAATTGCTTAGCTTACCTGCCATTGCCTCATGAGCTCCCGTACTCCTTGAGCATCTTCTAGGATTCTCTCTTTACGTGTGGCATCCTGTAGGACATTGGCAGTGGTTTCTGCTTCTGTAAGCCAGGCAAGAAACTTTTCCAGATCTAAATAGAACTGTTGCAAGAGCCTTAGGGCTGCTTCCAGTGAGGCCTCTCGCTCTCCAACTCTGTGAAAGAGCAAACATAGTTATGTGAAGATGAGTAACTGTGATCCAAAGTGGTTTATTCACTCATATAGATGTTTTCAGTAATACTAAGATGAAATTTGAATTAAACTATGCATAGGTGTCATAAATCGTTTTAACTAATATTTCCTTCTGAAATCACTGTTAAAACTAATCCCTACCCTTTTGCAAAGAGAAGATAAAAGTGGCTATTTAGTGGCATTTTCACTGATAATGGACAGTTATGGTTCTCCAGAAGTGAACATGACAATGTTACATTTTTACTATTATAATTTGAAACAAGCTCCTTAATCATAGGTTTTTCAAATTCTATTTCCAGATTCTATATAAACCTAGTAAAAGGCACTAAATAAGGCATTTCTCAACCACTGACTAGTTATAATTTGCTGAAAACTAATAAATTTCAGGGATAGGGAGTGTGATCTTATCTATTGATCACAGCTGACTATATTTTTAAAAGTTAACCTTTTAAAAAGAATATGCATATGTATATCTACACACACAAGAAATAAAAAGAAACAAAAAATATAGAATCAGGTGAGTGTCAAGATGCTTACAAATGCGATAAAGATATGTTTTTTCTGTATACATATTCATAATTTATTAAAGGAATATGAATATTTGAGGGAGAAAGGTGGTTAAGAAATATGAAATATAAAATAAATAAACAAATAAATAAATACATAATCTTTAATTCCCAAATAATGATTAAACTCAATGCATAATACAAATATCAGGAATAACACTATATATCGTATAAGAAAAATTTGAAATTATAAATTATGATTAATCATTAAAAAAGAAAAAAGATTATTATTAAAGCACAGAAAAGAAAAAAGAAGAAAAAGAAAAAAGATGAAATAAAAGATAAAGACTAAAATTCACTAAAATACTATTAAAATTATACTCCCCCATTATACCTTGGCTATTGATTACAACCAATATATTAAGAAATGTTTCTGATTTTTATTTGTATTGATCACAGTTGTTGAATAACTAGTCTTATATTAAGCACGGTACAACACAAAATTAAAATAATTTCAGTTGCAAAGTTAAACACTGCTAATCAGTAGTATTTCATTGTGCTTTCCCCAGATCTGGCTACAATTAAAATAGCTTCCTCATCTTTAAAATAAATGATCATTTCTGATCATCTATTATAGCTAATCATCTTGAAATTCTATTGAATTTGGCTCTAACATACATATGTTTGTAATATATGTTCAGGCTATTCATATACCATCAATATTTTTTAAAAAAGCCATACTCCTAAAGCATCTTCCTGACATATTGTGTGAAGGTCAATAATCACAGGAAACTGGCTGTGCCTTTATCATCAGCAGAACATATTAAGCCATAAACAATTGCTGCCAAGCTGAAGCAGTAAGTCTAAAAAAAAAAAAGAATAGTTTTTTTCATCATGGTCTGAATTTTGCTGAACACAAACTCTTACGCTACATAATTACTATTTTAAAAATAATTGAAACATTTTTGTTTGTTCCTCTCCTGTAAACATGAACATCTATTTAACAGTGCTACCTGCAGAAAAGTAAAGAATGTACAAGTTTTCCATTCTATAAAATAATTGCTGCGAAGCTTAAATGTAAAGTTTCAAAAGTACTGCAAGTTAGACTACAGATGTACTACAGGTTAGGCTTCCCAGTCAATATGGCATTAAAAAAAGAAACTGATAGCATATTGTTACAAAAATAAGGTAAAATATATACTAAGAACGAGCCTATCACACTCTGAACAGAGATGTTTTCAGTATATAAAAAGAAAGAAAATGCAAGTCCCCAGAGAGAAATACACACATACAGCACATCAGACTTCATTCTAACTCACGGGAATAAAACACAAAATCACTGCCCAATTCAATATTAAATGTAAGCAGCACCATAATTTAGGCTTTCATCAACTGAGATACTACTTGATTGAATGGTCACAAGGTGTTCCACATAGAGCTGCCTTTAATGAACCCCCCAAAATGCACTCTAGTATCTTTTCTCAAACACCTATGGAGTCAAGGGTCGTTCTTTCCTAGGAAGTTGGGGCCAGTCTGACAATGGCATTTGTATATCACTCTTCTACCAGGGCAATCCAGAATGGTAAATAAAAGAAAACAGTCAGTAAAACAACTGGTAATAAAACAAAATGATAAAAATAGTGGAAGTGTAGCAAGCTATATAAAATTAGACCATTTATAACTTGCTAACATAGAGGAGTTTCATCCCAGAGGGAATTATTACCTGTAAATGTCAAATGAAATCCAAATGGTCTATTGTACCTGCAACATTCTTGATCACTGCTTTTAAGCCACAGAGCAAAGCCTACATATACTGACTCAACTATGTCTAAGTATGTACAATTTACTTTATGCTGAAAAACAAGACCCCATTCATGGATGTACAGTCTACACATTTACAACTGATTCATATTTGGTAATGTATAGGCTATCAAGTACATTGTATTGGATAAAGGGATGATGGCTGAAGAAAGGGCCAGAGGTTCTTAAGCTGCATCACAATTTTTCAGCAGCAAGACTACTAAGTGCTGTGTGAAGTGTGCACATTTACTATTCACCAAAATTAGTCCCAGTTGAAAGTCCATTCCCTTCCACAATCAATGTTTTCAGATGCCATAGATGGAAATAATTGGAGATGTATTGCCAATAAATGGAACAGAGTCCTGCCTTCATATGTAGGAGGCAAGATGGCCGTTGCCCACTGAGATGAGTTTCACAGTAAATACTGATTTACTGCTGAATTACCATCCAGCAAAACCACTGACCTAATCCAGCTCATTTTGCTTACTGGCAGGACTCAGATGCTATACATTCTGGTCAAGTGATAAACAGAGAATGCCAGTGAGAAGATATTGATTTTTACTGAATATACTAAGTATCCATCTAGTTGAAAATGCCATCAGGTTTGCCAAGTCTTCAACAGATGACCAGCAGTACACCAAATGCCTCTGGACAACTGATCAGTGACACTGCTACCATTGCTGGTACTGTATATTCCCTGCTATCCAAGTAGCTCAGTCAGTTGTGCCATCTAATATGGCTCCTGTCTACCAAGTTCCACTCAACACTCCTTTCTTCAGACCTGCACCTGTCTTGGAATATATGGACATCATTGTCTCCTGCACTCTCCACAGAGCCCTGCAATACTTAAAAATCCTCCAATCATTCATCAACTTTCCACAGTATGCACACTCCACCTTCAACACTATTCACCACCAATATCAAGTGGCAGTCACTAACTTCCAATCAATCTGTCACAGTTATGGGGTAAAAGGGGGGAAATGCTGTATTTTCAGTACTTGAAGACTTCGACAGTGTATATCAAGATTTGTTAAACTCTAGAAGAGCTATTATCATGGACATATATTCTCATTTACAAATATCAACAAAAAGTCCACATCAATTGATAAGTAAATTAATAACAAAAAGGGGAAAAGATATACATAATCTTTGCATATGCTGCTGATACACCAAATTGCTAAAATATATTTCATTATAGACTTGGGAAAGGCTATTATCTTGGTGCTAATGATAAAGTAAAGGCATCTGGCTTCCTTTGTTAAGAATCTCTATTTAAATAAGACAGTTCTTAATATAGATTCTTCAAAAAGAAGACTAAATGATCACCTAGTGCCCATTATGTTATTTACATGTGTGGATTTATTTCTTCTGGTATTTTAAATTTGGCAGACACAATGACATGATCAATTCATAATCATAATACTGAGACAGTAACAAGTTAATCCACAGTGAAAATAAACCAAGCAATTAGGAAACAATTAAAAGATTAGAAGTAAGAGAAGAGAAACTAGGCAATGATCCAAACCGTGAATCACTACCAAGAAATCCACAAATTCATTCACAAAGAAATCTAAAATCAAGGGCTGGGAAATTAGCATGAAACAGAACAAAAGAAAGGCTGCTACAGTAATTCAGCAGAACTCTACTCCCAAGCAAAGGTTTATATACCTTGTTCTCAGTACAGCTGTTGGGTTACTTGTGACTTGCTTTGATTTGAGCCATTGTTTCTTTAAAAAGCATTTTCTTACAAATTAGTGTTCCTTTAATCTCCCAGTCTTGTATTTTGGATTCTGAACAGTCCGTTTTCATAGGAGCTTGACATAATCTCTTTGTATGTTTCAGACATAGTTGTCTTGATCATAGGCAGAGAATGGCCCAGGAAAAAAATCTTCTGTGAAGCTCTTGGATTTCCAGAATGATGATTAAAGGAGATCATATATCATTATCAAACTGAATTTAGTTGCAAAGTAGCATCCAAAAAAAGGAAGGTGGAATTAAAAAGAAAGAAATTGAGATGTCTGCAGTGACTTAGGAAATAAGGTTCCAAAAGATCTGCAGATTCCATCAATCAATGATATGGTAACAAAAAATCAGAAAGGATGATAAATAAAGAACATTTCTTAATTCTTTGCAACATATTACTCTTGAGATTTTATAGTAGTAAACAATTGTGT